AAAGAGAGAGAGAGAGAGAGAGAGAGAGAGGCAAACGGTGGGAGGGGGAGAGGGAAACGGAAGAAGGGAGGGAAGGAGGGAGGGAGAAAGGAAGGAAGATAGGAAAGCATTTTGACTAAACTTCAGGTAAGAAAAGATTATCTAGGTCAGTTACCTCTGTTCTCAAACAAAACTTACAGCGAGAACAGTCCCAATGGTATAACCAGGTTCTCCACCAAGGATCAAGGAAGTTCCATACCAAAAAGCAAGTCCATAGGTTCCATTCATAAAGAAGTACACAGTGCCAAAAGACAGTTTTGAAGCTATAGCCTTTTTGATGCCAACATCCTTGGCATCTTTGAGATTCTGTGTATACCTTATAAAAACAGAACACAACTTATTAGTCTTTGGGGAAAATAAAGTCAAGAATATGTTGTCATAATTAAAGGGACAGACCTTTGAAGTTCTTTCTCCTGGGCCCCAAAGGCTACGACTGTTCGGATCGATGACAAAACTCCTTCCGCAACAGCCCCAGCTTTGGAATAGGCACTTAATTCCTTACTGGTTAGTGAGATGACCATCTATAACAAACCACAGCCAAAGAGTAGCAGGGACATTGGCTTCAGAGCTGTGAGTGTATGACTATTGCCTATTCACACGTCAAATCTATCCACTTTCAAAATACATTCCATATAACTGGAGTCGATTTTATGTCAGATATATTTGGACTGCTGTTAAAGTTAGAAGCTAGTATCAGCTGAGTAATATTCATTATTTTCTGAATTCATGTACTAAAGATCATTATTTCTATGATATATCACTGGAGGAGAGATACTGCCTGGCACAAAGTCTTGTACCTAGTGAGTATTCAATAGATGATTACCAAAGTAAGTTGAATTGAAGGAAGCTAGAAACTATCTACCCTGGTATCTCCAGTCACCTGGATAACTTTGACCTTCACCTTCTTCTGCTTCATGATCCAGTTAATACAATAACAGAGCTTAGAATACCCACTGATATTCCTTTAGATTCCTCGTTTACCTCTCTTCCACGGGCAGTGAAAGCTCTGATCTTAGTAACATATTGTGGGTAATTTTCCTATTGAGTGTTCCTTCCTTATTTAAAATAAGCTGGGGATGGAGATTTTGACAGGGTCAGTGCTAGAAATCACACTAAACAAAGGTTTGTTGCTTAAATATCTAAGCATATCGTTAAGGAATTGGTCAATCAAAATATAAAAATATTCAAATTAGAATATTTTCATTGCTGAAAATTCTTGTTGGCTGAGTTTGTATATAACTTTAAACACAGTGAATTGTATGGAGTTGATTTCTATTAAAAAACAATTAGTATTGTAGAATTAAAACACTGTGCCTCCAATCTAAAAGATGGAAATATACAACGGTAGGATTGAAATAAATATGATTTAAAGAGGAATAATAGAGATATATTTGTTGTTTTTAGACTTCACAAAGGATACTGGTTTCAAAATCAGGCCGTAAATAAGATTGATACTTTGAGGCATACTCATAGCAGTACAGTGCTAAAAACATAATTTAGAATGCAAGTACGTAATTTGTTTTAAAAAACAGAAACATATTTATGTAGTAAATAAAAATAGACATTGGCAGACACTTTAAATATAATTCAAAGCCTTATTAAAAACACAAACTTGAAGAGGCTGTCATTAAAAAGTGTTTAAGTGTTTATTGTCTTAGTATTTTCTTATTCTGTTCTTCCTAGTGAAATGGATTGCAGCACATTTATCTGGGAATTGAGAACACGTGAAGCTCTCCCAGCAGCAACAACTGAACATCCCACAGATAATGGCATTATGCTTTATCCTTGCTAACATTGTGAAGCTGCATTAGGCTGCTAAATGAAAAATAATGTTTTTAAATGTAAGATATTAAAAACAAATCTCATCTTAACCAAATAACTTGAAGACAGAAGGGTGATTAATGGTGGACACAACCAAAAGTACTTGTGGGGGATCATAACTCTTTGTATTTGGGGACAAAGCCAGTGAATAGAAATGCCTTTTGTGACAAACCCACGGAGCCACTTAGTTCCCACTACTGCCTCCAGATCACACTTAGTCGTGTCACCTATCCTGGAACACGCTGCTGCAGAAGCCATTATCAGAAGAGATGTGGACAAACTCACCAGGGTGAGTGTCCAGGCTTTCACTAAACCAACTGCCAGGCCAATGGAAAAAGTAGACACGTTCTGGAACAACAGAGCAGACTTGTCTCCAGTACCATTGCTGATTTTGTTGATGTCCCTGAAACAAGTAGATAACTGTAGGTAAGTCATGTCTATGTCCTTTATGAAAACAAAGTTGGTGTGCTGCATATTAGTTCTCTTACTCCGTCATGTGAGTGTCAAGTTCGCCGATATCACAGCCATCATACCAGGTGATGTCCTGCGCCAACACTGAATGGAAAAACTGCTTTCGAATTCTCTCAGTTTGTTGTGCTGCAGTTATAAAAAAAAAAAAAAGAAAAGAAAATAAAAAGAAAAAAAAGAAATCTACTATAATAATATGATTTGATTGAGGAAATATAGGCTTGAACCTAGAAAAATAACTAAAAACCCATCAGAAGAAAGAGTGAAGTATGTTGAATAATCTAGGTTTCCCTGGTAAGGCATGTAGAGGTCTCTCTACATACAGAAATTTGTTTGTTTTGTTTTTTTGAGTTGGGGTCTCACTCAGTCACCCAGGCCGGAGGGCAATGGCAAGATCATGGGTCACCAGCTTCGAACTTCTAGGCTCAGGCGATCCTCTTGCTTCAGCCTCCTGAGTAGCAGGTGCTACAAGAATGTACCACCACGCCCATCTAATTATTTGATTATTGTGGAGATGAGGTCTTGACATGTTGCTTAGGCTGGTCTTGAACTCCTGGGCTCAAGCAATCCTCTTGCCTCAACCTCCCAAAATGCTGGGATTACAGGCATGAGCCACTGTGCCCAGCCTAAAAAGTAGTATTTTAAAACATTCTTGCTATTTATGTCTTTTTTCAATGCTTTTAATACTTTTATATGAAAAAATTACATTGAAGTAATTAAGATAACTGTAGGTGAAACAGTATGGTAAAGAAAATGAGAGTTGTCAAAAGCAGATACAACGCTATAAAAATATACATACCATTAACTTCAAAATTCAACTTAAAGAATTTACCCTAAGGTAATGGGAACAAAGATGCATCTACATAAATTGTCTCTATAGCATTTGTAACAATAAAGAAAAACTGAAAACAATGCAAATATATAATAGTAGGAGACCAGTCAAGAAATGTAGTCATTTAATGTAGTCAAACCTCCAATGGCACATTAAGTACCCAGTCTGTTCTAGAGATACAGCCATGAGCAAGGTAATATGTCCTCCCATTCTGGTGGGAGGAGCCAGACAAGGCACAACGAGAAAGAATTTAGGTTGTTCTATGAAGAAAGTAAATAGGGTTATTGAGAAGCCACAGCATAATTGGTGGGTAAACGAGGGTTGGGAGTGTTATTGAAGATGAACAGAGGGGTCGAGGAAGGGATCATATAGCTGCGATTCGAAATGTGAAATAATGCCAGTCATAGAAAGAGCAAGGAGAGCATTTCAGCAATAGAGAAGAGGTCTCTCCTGGGAAGAACTGAGACAGAAAAAAGCTTACCATGTTCCAGGGAATGAAAGAAATCCAACATGGAATGAAATGACAAGGCTGGATAATTTGGCACATCCTAAGGTTTTTAGCTACAGTGTATGATAATCAGATCTTATTCTAATAGAAATAGAAGGCCTTTGGAAGATTTCAGCAAGGGATGACTTTATCTGTTCGATTTTATTTATTTATTAGAGATAAGGTCTCACTATGTTTCAAGATAAAAGGCGTGAGCCACCGTACCTAGTCACTGTTCAGTTTGTCAGTAGATCCTTCCAGCTCCTCTGTGGAGGATAGTGGAAGCAACAGCAACAGGAAGCAGAAAGTTCAGTGAGGAAGCTATTGCCGTGGCCGAGGTGAGAAGGATGGGGGCTGTGTGAGGCTGGGTACAGATTCCAGATATATTATAGAACTATAAATTGCCAGACTATTGAGTCCCTCAAACAAAAGCATCAACCTTCTCTGCCAAAAACTAAGACTGTTAAAGCAAAAAGTTCTGATCCTATCCTAAAATAGAAATATCATTTTTGTTCAGTCCTCTAGGTTTTGAGGGTTTCGACCTGCCTATGGAGCACCAAATTGCATACCTTCCCTCGAGTGGAGTGCCTCCCACGAGCTTCGATGAAAAGACAGAACTTGAGAAGCTAGAGTAGTTGGGTCACTCTCTGCTTCAGAACATAGTCTCTCCATGATGGGGCTATAATCTGTCACAGTTTCCTTCAAGGTTTGCTGTTGTTCCTGGATGTGCAACTGCCACTTGTTTGCTGTGACACAGATATTAAGATTTCCTTGTGCTTTATAGTTTTGGTGTGTTTTTTGTTTGTTGGTTGGTTGGTTGGTTTTTTAAGATGGGATCTTGTCACGTTGCCCCAGTTGGCCTCAAACCTCCCAGCTCTAGCAATCCTCCCACCTCAGTCCCCTGAGTAGCTGAGACAGCAGACACACACCATCGCGATAGGCAGTGCTTTATAGTTTGTATGTATGTTTTTGTATTAATACAGCAATTCTTTGTTTAACAGACTCTTACTTGAAAAAGCTGATCATGTACTGAATGTGAGAAATGAAGGAAAGGGAAAAACCAAGGATAATTCCTTGAGTTTGAGGGGAGCAGCTGGTGACGAGGGTATCACTCATGGATGTGGAACACTGGGAGACAGACATATTTTCAGGGAATATTGAGAGTCTGATTTAGACAAGCTGAGTCTGAGATGCCTGTTAAATTTCAAAGTGGAGATCAAGTAAGAAGTTGAAGTCCTGGAGAGGGGAGTGGGTTGGAGACGTGGATCTGAAAGTGATTGCTTATAGGTGGTCATTAAAATAAAAAGACTGACTGAGACCACACAGCGAAAGGCAGAAGGAGGTCGAAGACTGAGTCTGGGACTCTACAGATTCATCGAGTCACTTTCACGGTCTATCTGGTGTTAAGTGTTTCTCATTTTTGTGTGTTTTGCTGTTCATAACAGTTCCTAAGCATCATGCAGAAGTGCTGGCTAGTGTTCCTTAGTGCAAGAAGGCCATGATGTGCCCTCTGTAGAAATACGTATATTACTGCTGGTGGAATTGTAAACAAGTTCAACCTCTATAGAAAAGAGTATGGAGATTTCTTGAAGACTTAAAAATAGAAATACCATTAGACTCAGCAATCTGACTTCTAGGTATCTACCCAAAGGAAAAGAGAAATTATTATATAAAAAAGATACCTGTACTCATATGTTCATTGCAGCATTTTTCACAATAGCAAAGTCGTGGAACCAACCTAAGTGCTCATCATCGATTGATTGGATAAAGAAAATGTGCTCTATACACACCATGGAACACTATAATGTCATAAAAAAGACTAAAGGCATATACTTGGCAGCAACATGGATGGAGCTGGGGAATATCATCCTAAGTGAACTAACTCAGAAAAAGTAAACCAAACACCAAATGTTCTCATTATACATGGGTGCTAAATGGTCAGAAAGATGGAAATAACAGACACTGGGGACACTAAAAAAAAGGAAGTTGAGGTGAGGTCAAGGGTTCGGAAGTAACCTATTGGGTACAATGTTCACTATTTGGAAGATGGGTCATCTGAACCCAATCCCCATCAGTACGCAATATATCCATGTCACAGACATGCATTTGCACCCCCTGAATCTAAAAAAAATTACATGTGTCAGATAAACTCCATTCAGGCGTAAGTATAGTGCTATTTACCATGACTTAAATGTTAACAAATCAACAACACATATAAGATGTCGTTATACAAAAGCATACATAAAATGAGGTTCTGTATTATTTGATTGATTAAGTCTGTGACCAGAGACTCACAGGAACCTAACACTATATTACTTCTAAGAGCAATGGTTCAGTATTTGATAATTCAGTGTTCACAGAAACTTTAATAGAATATAAGTATCACAAAGAAAAATAACTGTGTTTTCTATAAGAGAGTTGTTCAAGGACAAGAAAATGCTACAAGTTTCATAAAAATCATCTTGTTGAATTGTGTTAATGTTGTAGAGAAAATGTTTGCAATAATCAAATTTTAAAAAGTAAGACTGGTACACTGAAAACCACAAAATGTTAGTAGAAGAAATTAAAGAAGATCTACATAAAAGAAGACACAATCCATGTTCATGGATTGAGAGACTTAGTGCTGTGAAGATGCCAATTCTCCTCAAAATGATCTACAGATTCAATGCAATCCCTGTCAAAATCCCAGCAGGCTCACAGAAGTTGACAAAGGTGATCCTAAAATTTATATAAAAATGTAAAGGACTCAGAATAGCCAAAATGAAAACAAAGAACAAATTTGGATAACTTACATTTCTAGGGTTTATTTATTTAAACTATAAAATTACAGTAATAAAGACAGTGTAGAACTGGCATAAAGACAGATATGTCAATAAATGCAATGGAACAGAGAGAATAGGAACTAACCCTTTCATTTATAGAGAAGTTGATCTTTAACGAAGGTGTCAAGCAATTCTGTGGAGAAATGAATGTTTTGGTGCTGGGACAACTGGATGGCCACATGCACAAAAGATTAAGCTAAAAACTTCACCTCATACCTTCACAAATATTAGCTCAGAATGGATCAGACCTAAATTTAAGAGCTAAAACATTGAAACTTCTAGAATAAAACATAGAAGAAAATCTTCATGACCCTGGGTTAGGCAAAGAATTTTTAAATCCAAAAGCACAATCCATAAAAGAAAAACTTAATAAATGGGATTTTATTACTTTGTGCTTCAAAAGAAACCGCTAAGGGAGTGAAAGCTCTAGCTACAGACAGGAAGAAAATATTTACCAGTCATATATCTGACAAAGAACTTGTAATCAGAATTTATAAAAAAGCACTTACAACTCAGTAATAAAAAGACAAATGGCACAATTTAAAACTAGGTAAAATATTTGAATAGACAATTTACCAAAATATATGAATAGCTAAAAAGTACATTAAAAATGTTCATCATTAGTCACTAGGGAAATGCAAATTGAAGCCACATTATGACAACTGTTCACACCTACCTCAGTGGCTATAATACAAAAGAAAGACAATAACAAGTATTGGTGAAGACAGGAGAATCTGGAACCCTCAGACAGTAAAATGGAGACATCACTTTGAAAAACAGTTTGGTATTTTAAAAATAAAGAGCCAGGCTCCAGTGGCTCACACTTGTAATCCCATCACTTTGGGAGGTTGATGCAGCAGGACTGCTTGAGCCCAGAATTTGAGACCAGTCTCATCTCTACAAAATAATTTTTTAAAAATTAGCCAGGAATGGTGGCACATGCCTGTAGTCACAGATACTTGGGAGGCTGAGGCAGGAGGATCACCTGAGTCCAGAAGGTCAAGGCTGTGGTGAACTGCAAGTGTGCTACTGCACTCCAGCCTGAGTGACAGAGTGAGATTCTGACCCTAAATAAATAAATAAGTAAATGAGTAAATAAATAAATACATGAATAAAATAGATAAAATACATTTACCATAGGACCCAGCAATTCTGCCCCTAAGTATCTACCCAAGGGAAATAAAATACAAGAACCTGTATATCAGTGTTCATAGAAGCACTCTTTGTAAATAGCCAAAAAGTAAAATCAGTCCAAATATTTGTCAGCTAGTGAAGAGATAAACTGAATGTGATATGTCTTTACAATGGATTACTACTAAGCAATAAAGAGAAATAAACTACCGATACATGTTACAACATGGATGAACTCAAAAACATTGTGCTAGATGAAAGAAGCCAAATAAAACCCTAATAGATTATATGTTTCCATGCATATGTAATGCCCATAATATACAAATCTTTAGAGATAGAAAGCAGATAAGTACTTGCCTGGACTGGGAGTGGGATTGGGGGTTGATTACAAATGAAGGATCTTTGAAGAGTGATGAAAGAAGGATTCTAAAAACAGATTATGGTGATGGTTGTACAACACTGTAAATTTACTATAAATCATTAAGCTGCACACTTTAATCTGGTAAGTTATATGATAAGTACATTATGTTTCAATAAAGATATTAAAAATCATATGGACACTGCAATCTCAATTATACTAAAAGTAAACATGTACCATGTAAAAAAGACAATAATAATTTCAACAAAAATTAATATTTTTATCCTTTATTGATGGGATTATAAGTAACTTAATTGTCTTCTTTCTACATTTTTATATTTTCTATAATGAAAATATCGTTTAATCAGAAAAAGTAATTTAAAATAATTTTTATAGAAGCACCGATTTACCTTTTAAAAGACTATCCTTAAAAAACAAAAAATGCACCCAACTTTTTCACTTGGAAGAACTTTACTTATTAACTTTTCATTTATCCAGCCATCAGACTTCCAAACTACCTGGGAGACAGAAAGAAAAATTCTAGTCGTCCCAGAGCCCAGGCGATGAATTTTGCATCAAGAAACGAAGGTATCATTGAGATCTAAGCCTTCCAATTCAAAACGTCATGCAAATTGAGGTCAACTTAATGGCTCCATGTTGAACATTATGCCAGACCACTGAGTACCACTGAATCTTCAGAAAGTATTAATATCACATTTGACAAATAGAGAATTTGAAGCTTACAGAAGTTACCCAACAGTGCCCTCACTAGAAATAGGCAGAGCCCACTATCTAAATCCCAAAAGCAGAATCTGTTTGTTTTTTTTTTCCTTTTCTTTTTCTTTTTTTGAGTTTGGGTCTCACTCCGTCGCCCAGGCTGAAGTGCAATAGCATGATCACAACAATCACGGCTCATGGTAGCCTCAACCTCCTAGGCTCAGGCAATCCTTCTACCTCAGTCTCCTTACTACAGGTGCATGCCACCACACCAAGCTTTTTTTTTTTTTTTTAAGAGATGTGGTTTTGCTATGTTGCATAGGCTGGCCTTGAACTCCTGGGCTCAAGCAATCCATCCGCCTCAGCCTCCCATAGTGTTGGAATTACAGGTGTGAGCTAGCATGCCTGGTCCTAAACCTATAATCTGATTCCTGAGCTTATGATTTCAATCACTCTAGTAATATTTCTGAGGAAAGTAGGTGGCAAATAGGCTTGAGAAATACTGCTTACCTCCTCAGCCCTGGAGACTGACAATACACATGAACAGTTTAAAAAACCCAAAAGCTAAGAACTAGTTTCATGTTGTTCAATCCAGGATGTCTCAGACCAACTGACCATGAAGCATTGCCCTTCCTTTTTAAATGTGTGCCCTATTTGATTTACTGTACAAAAATTTGGGAATCATTCTAGACTACAACTTGGGCAGCAGAAATTGCTATCTATCTAATCTATCACCCAATACCTGATCTTCTTCCTTAATAGCAGAACTCCCATTTCATTTGGAGTGATAATATGCCCAGCTAAAAAGGATGTGGCCATATGCCTAACATAAGGCCATTTTTAGAGGTAAGTGAGACTGTTGTGTAGAATTTCCAGCAGGCTGAATAAGAAAGCTGACTCAGCTAGGAATGCACATTTTTATCTTCCTTCTTCCACATAATGGCTGGAACTCCAGCAGCCATTTTGAACCAGGAGGATTACTGAAGATGGATGTCAGTACAAAGATGCTGGAGTAGAAAGACAGAAGAATCCTGAGTCTCTGATGACTGTTGAACCATATTTTATTCTTAGACTGTCTACTTTCAAGTTTTTATTTGTGAGAGAAATAAATTTCTATCATGGCTAAGCCATTCTCTATCTTAAATGCAGTTGAATTTAATCTATCACAGATGTGGCTGTCCAGTTTGCCCCTTCATTTTCAAGTAGGTTATGGCGAATACATCAGAATTAGCAAAAGAAAAAGAACAAGTTGCTTAGAAGTCCATATGGTATTAATTAACTAACTCTTGACAGCAAAAGAGGAGACGTCATATTAACTAGCAGTAATCTTAGGACTATTTAATCATTCTGAACTGGAGTCAGCAAGAAAAGATTTGATTACTTTTACAATAATTTTCTGATAAATAAGACAAAGGCATAGATTGAACATTACACATTAAGAAGATAAAATTATGAGTCATTTTCTTTAGAAAATAACTTAAAAGAATATGATTCTTCAGTTCCTGATTATTATAGACGAATGAAGAATTACCTTATATGAGGGAGGACCCTAGAAAAACCGGAATTATTTTTTGGAGGGCAGGCCTCTTATAGTATAGACTTTTCCTGCTAGGTAAGGTGGCTTCTAGAAACCCATGGGCATTAGGGCATCAGTTAGCGTTGTTGTGAGAGGCTGTGTTCAACTTTGGTGAATTTTTTTGGAGAGTCTTACATCACATTTGCCCATTTCACAATGGATGATAAACGAGCACACCTGCCCACACTGTGCTAAGTGTTCAGCAGTTTTTGACCCAAAACAGCATGACCCCCATGCCCTACTCTCCCTATTCACCTGATCTCACCTGAGCAACTCCTTTTGTTTCCCTGGGTGAAAAAAGTCCTTCAAGGAAAACGTTTTGCTGATGTGGAAGAGATAAAACAAAATAATGGTAGAAGCACTAAAAGGCATCAAAATTGATGCGTTTAAGAGCAGTAGGAAAAATGTCTCGATAGGTGTATTGCATCAAACGGAGAGTACTTTGAAGGGGATTGAAGTTTAAACATGTAAGAATAAATACACAATTTTTAATTAGTAAATTCCAGGGGTTTTTGAGGGAGTTCCTCCTTGTATTCAATAAAAATATGCTCATTAAAAAATTAGTTCCATGGGATATTAATAAGTATTAGGAAAAATAAATTAGGTTCCATGATCAAATATATTTGTAAAACTTGGATTAAACAAAGCTAACTAAACTGAGACTTTACTACCATGCTTATCTGTCCTGTTGAACACGATAGGAGCTGTCATACACAGCATTTTCCAAACCAATTTGACTATGGGATCTTTTTATTTTATTACGTGTTTCAAATATTTCTAAAAATTCCTCACTAACTTTAGAAATAACAGCATAGGTACTACATTATAAATATTAATAATGTTTTCTTCTAAATTTAATAGCCTTTTAATAACTGTACATAGATATATCTTTTCATCTTATTCTCCCTTTGTCTACTTTGAAATAAAAGCCCCATTTAAAAAATTTCTGAATTTTTTTGATAAGAAATTTATACTTCACGATTGTACATCAGAACCCTGCTTTAATACTGTAAGACAAAGATTCAGCAGAAGACACTACCCTGAATCCTAATCATCAATTTCCAAACAACCCAATATAACAAAATTTCATGTAAAAGCTGCTAAAAAACAAAACAAAACAGAACTTTCTGTCAAAAAAAGTTAAGGCTGCATCTAAACACAATTTGAGGGAGTACCATTCACACTGTAGGTTAGAAAGGTGCCATCCAATAGAACTGTCTGTAATGAAGAAAATTTTTAGTATCTGTGCTATAGAATATGGCAGCCAGTCAGATGTGACTTGCAGCATGTGTCACGTGACCAAGAATGATAAACTTTATTACATTTTAATTAATTCTTTTTATTTTTTTGAATCAGAGTCTCACTGTTGCCCAGTGCAGTGGCATACTCACGGCCTCTGCAGCCTCGACCTACTGGTTCTTCCGCCTCAGTCTTCCAAGTAGCTGGAACTTTAGATGCGTGCCAACCACAAAAAATAAATTTTTTGTTTTATTGTAGAGATGAGGTCTCACCAAGTTGCCCGGGCTGGTCTTGAACCCCTGGGCTCAGGCAATCCTCTTGCCTCCACCTCCCAAAGTGCTGGGATTACAGGTGTGAGCCACTGCGCCCAGCCCTTATATGTATATATAGCCACATGTGGCTGTGTCTAACATATTGGGCAGCATAGATAAAAAATTAAGGCCCACGAAGAATAAAGGATGCTGGAGGCTGGGAAGCATGGAGGCATGGAAGGGCACAGCAAAATGTGCAGAGGGATACAAAGTTATAGCTAGAGAAACAAGTTCCAGTGTTCTACAGCACTGTAGTTAACTATGTCTACAGCTAACAATAATATACAATTTCAAACAGGTAGAAGAAGGATATTGAATGATTCCAACATTAAGAAATGAGAAACACTTGAGATGATGGATATGCTAATTACCCTGATCTGATCATACACGTCTCACAACATTACTATGTACCCCATAAATATGTACAATTATTATGTGTCAATTAAATTTTTATTTTATTTTTAAAGAAGTCCCAGAAGGTGTCACTGTAGTATGGAGGTTGTCACTTGGCAACTCAAAGGCTTCATTTTGGGGGGAAAAGAAGAGGGATCACTTAGTTTTATAGAAAAGACAGAGAGTTTTAATGCAACACCATGAAAATCCAGTGAATATACTCAGTAATGTAAGCATTTATCTAACAAACTCAGAACAATATTTGGTTTAGAAGGTTATATATAAAGTAGTATGGTCAATTATAATTTTTTAAATAATTAAAAAAACATGTTTTACAGCAAATAATTGGACAGAAAATAAAGTATACTGTTTAATACTGAAAATTACACAAACAGAAGGTACTTATACATTGTTTATAGTTTAGACTTTAAATTTTTAGTCTGGATACAACTTTGCCATAATAGTTTGAATAATTAGTCTACAAAATTAGTCTGAGCAAAAGCTTACTATTCTTATTTTTAAAATTATTTTGTGGGCAATTCCCTCAGGTCCCCTCCCACTGTGGGAGCTTTTCTGACCTCTCAATAAATCCTGCTTTCTAAAAATAAAATAAAATAATGTTGTTATTTTTACTATATATTTGTTGCACACATCTTTTTTATTTTTAATGTTTATAGGAATAGCATTTTTATAAGGCTTATAAGAAAAATGATTTTTTTTTAAAGGAAAAAACAAGTCTCTTTTTCCTTCAGGATGTGTGTCTTCAGTTCTAGGACGCAAAATTGCTATAAAAACACAATTTCTTTTTACAATTTTTCTATTGATAACAATTTTGTCCAATACAACTCAAAACATATGACAACACATCCTTCAAATGAAAAAATATATACCAATTATAATTATTTTTTAATGAAAGAAGAGTACATGTTTGTTGATCATTTTTTATCTGGTATTGATGATTAAGCTTTTTAGTTTTTTTCTTATAAGATTTAAATCAAATAACATGTAATGAATGTGATATTAACACTTCACATGGACTTACACAGTCATATCTTCATTCAGCTTCTCTTGAGACTGAGTACAATTCCGATTATTTGCTGCAAAAAAAGTTTTTCTTAATTATTTAAAAAATTATAACTGGCCATACTACTTTATACATAGCCTTCTAAACCAAATATTGTACATTCTTAGGAAAGTAGACTTAATGCCTACACAGGTTTATGATCATCTTATTTTCTATTATCTAACCTAGAACTTGAAGTAATTATCTCTGCTCTTAAGAAGTATTCATGCAACTTGGAAAAATACAAAGAAGTATTAACCTTGTACAAGGTTAATAATTCTTTACAACATCTCTAATTAGGCAACAGTTGGGAAATTGGTAGTAATAAAATTCCTTTTTCCTTCCTGAAATTATGCAATCCAAGAAATGATTTGGAAAGTCCAGAAAAAGCTAGAACACGTTTGAAAGTTCTAGAAGTAGTTATGGAAAAAATGGAAAGAAAGGTCATTGATATATGTTGGATATAAGTAGGATAGCAACAAAATAAAACAGTGTTTAAATTAATCTTTGGGTTATAAGTTTTCTATGTAAATATTTTTATGTATCTTCTAGTAAAAAGATACATCATGTGTTAATTCATATAAAAGGTTCTAATTTCACCAGCAGCAAAAAACACTAGTCAATATCCACTATCATAATTTTCTTCATTAAGCCTTTATAGTAAACAATTAAAATGAACTGCAGACATCATGACTCTTCATATCTTAAATAACCATAACATTATCACGTATTAAAATGTCTATGATCTTTATCTATAAACAATCATTCCCCCTTATTATATTTATGGAACAGTGGCAGGAAAAAATTTTGAAGCAATATATTCCAAAAATATCAAAATTGACATGGCAGAAGTGAAGGTATTAAAATCTAGCAGAAAGTTTTAATGAGACTTAACTGAGCTAACTACAATCACATAAAATGACATAATCTCATCTCCTAGATTATGTTAATAGATGTAGTATGTGCTAACCCTCAGTACTGGCACAAAAATGGGCCGCTGTTCAATGAGTGCTATTATTCATATTTTTATTTGCAGGAACAAGTAATCCCACTCTATTATCTTCCAGAAAGACAATTATTAGAAGGTTGAAAGTAGACCGCTTAATACCCATACTTCTCTTTAACAATGTCATGATATACCAATAATATACATGAATTTGTCTAAGTCCTTATCAAACTTCTTTATATATTTACCATATTTGATAAAACACTATGAAACTTGAGAAAACTGGAAAAGTTCTAAACAACAAAAATTAGAATTTACAGCAATATCAATCAGACATGTACTTTTCATCCAATGTAAAGCAGGTAAGGCGATCAATTATAGAACAGACTCAACAAAAGGAATACTCTCAGGTAGGCAGCTTGGGTTGCTAGGTTACTCATTCATTCATTCATTCATTCATAGATAGTTGGCAATCAATACATATTTATTCAGTGAATTGGTGGCCCCATTTGTTTAACAATTAATTTAGCTCATATATTTAGCTTATATCATTAGTATATCAATTTTTGAATTTAAGTTATATTCTTAATATAGTTTGCAATACTAAAATATAAAAGAAATCACAACGGTTTAGACAGGAAGTCATGGAAGAACACAGAGATGAAAGCAATGAGTTTATTCCACTCAAACAAGATTGGATCAGTTCAAAGATTAATCTTCAGGTAAAAAACAAGAAGGTATAAATTAGGTATAACTTAGTATTTAAAGTCAAATAGGGCACAGAGGGAAGTACATGGTACAAAGTGAGGCTAGTGTCTAAAAGACAGTCCAGGTTGTAATGAGTCATTTGTCCCTGTTAGAATAAACATCTGTAAGGATACTTCCTAGTGTGAAATTTGAGGAAACACATGAAAAATCAAGGAATTACTAATATTTGTCATATTCCTCAGATAAAATTACTGCACAGAACCGTGTCAGTGCATAGGAGAATCACTGGACTTTACATCTATAGAATAATGTCATCTTGAAGGAAATACCCCTGAAATAGAATGCTACAAAGGATACAAGAAGGTCGGGCTGGGTGACTCAGCCTGTAATCCCAGCACTTTGGGAGGCCGAGGCGAGTGGATTGCCTGAGCCTGCGGTTTGAGAACAGCCCGTGCAACTTGGTGAGACCTTGTCTCTACAACAAATCAAAAAATTAGCTGGGCGTGGTAGTGTGGGCCTGTAATTCTGGTTACTTGGAAAGGCTGAGGTGGAAGGATCACCGGAGCCCAGCAGGTTGATGCTGAGGTGGCCATGAGTGTGCTATTGCACTCCAGCCTGGGCAGCGGAGTGAGACTCCAACTGAGAACAACAACAACAACAAAAACAAAAGATACAAGAAATATGCCTATAAATAAGGGTTGTATAAAAACACTTTTTCCACACATGATTGATAGATTACATCTCCCTCCTCCGATCTTTATTCAAGGATTCTGTCTCTATGACTATAATTTTCAGCTTTTTTCCTGCATTATATTCTACTAATTAGAAAAAAAAAACAAAACCAAGTAGCTAGTAAACAGAAAGACTTGACCATACTCGATTTTTTTATTATTTTTTCTTTCTTTTTAAAAGTACAGATAAGTGAACAGGACTGGTCTAAGTCTTTGATTATATCCTGATATAATCACCACCTCTGAAAATTATTTGAATTCCTAGACAATGTAAGCTACAGTGGGTTTTAGATGATTTATACATGCCATCAGTAGACTGCCTTCAGACTTGAACTGCATCATTGGCGCTCTCCTGGGTCTCAGCCTGTTGGCCCACTTGGCATATTTTGGACTTGCCAGTCTTTAAAACAATGTAAGCCAATTCTGTTAAAATGTCTTTCTCTCTACATATATGTATGTGTATATATGTGTATACATACATATGTGTCTATATATATTACATATGAGGGGGTACCCAAAAATACCAGAATTATTTTTTGGAGGGTGGGTCCCTTATAGTACAAGCTTCCCCTGCTAGATAAGTGTTCTAGAAACCTAGAACACTTGGCATCAATGTACCAGCAGCATTGTTGTGAGAGGCTGTGTTCGGCTTCAGTGCATGTTTTCTGGAGATTCTTTCAATGTGTTTGCCCGTTTCATGATGGGTTATTTACAAGCATATCTGCCCACACCACATTGAGTGTTCAGCAGTTTTTGACCCCTATGCCCTATTCTCCCACTCACCCAATCTTGCTCAGAGTGATGTTTTTTGTTTCCCCAGATGAAAAAAGTCCTCAGAGGGAAACATTTTGCCAAAGTGGAAAAGGTGAAACAAAAAATGGCAGAAGCACTATAAGGCATCAAAACTGATGAGTTTTTTAAAAACTTTTGAGTAGTGAAAAAAGTGTCTTGATGGGTGTATTGCATTAAACGGAGAGTACTTTGAAGATAACTGAAGTTTAAACATGCAAGAATAAATACACAATTTTTTATAAATAAATTCCTTTTTGGGATGATCTCCCATAAACATACACACACACACACACACACACACACACACACACACACACACACACACTCATCACATGCTATTAATTCCGTTTCTCTGGAGAACCCTAACTAATACAGACTTTGTTTCTTTAGTGTCTAGAATATAGAATAGATGACTTAAATGTATATTATTTAAATATTGTTTTACAATAACATAATGTGCCTTATGAGTTTAATGTTTGTTTGCTTTAGTCAATATTTTTAATTTCTGGCAAAACAGAAGAATAAATCTTATACTCACTTGTGTTGGTTTGAACAAGACATCCACTAATAAGGTTATCACTCATTCCTCCTAAAACCACTGACATTAAAGGAAGACAGGCTCCATTCACCAGTGATGCCAGTATTCCCAGGACCATGAGTGTGATATCCAGTCCATCAACAAAACGGATCTGAGGAAAACAAAGCATGGTACCATTATTGCTGTAAAAAAAAACAAACGAAGCACCAACCTACAGTTTTGTCACCAAGTAACATTACTTTACATATTAAGAGATTAAATACATGTATAAAATCATAGATATGTATTTATATAAGCAAACACTCACATTAAGGATTTATAATCTCCTTTAAAGAAAATGTTTAAAAAATAAAGCAGCTAAATCAGTACAAATTGTAGATACGTGACACAAGTCAGGTCTGATGTGGTATGAATCAGAAACTTCCTTCCATTTGGTTGATTTTGGAATAAGTTAAGATATTTTGAAAGACTGCAATGACAACATCTTAGTTTATGGAAAGTTGATCTGCAAACTTTCAATTCCCCAGACTCAGTGGCTTCATAGCAATATCACAGCCAAATGCAGTGAACAGTATAACTTGTAAAAAATGTAATGAATTTTAAGTTTGATTGCTATTTTAAATTTCTCAGATTCTTTTCTACCCAGGACAATGTCTCTCCTGTCAATAAGTGTCTATAATAGTTTTAAGGACTGTTTGGAATAAGAAAGAAATATGTGAAAGCCAAATACTAAAGGTTTTCTATTCTACTATGTAGGAGGCCCATTCAGCATCATTTCACAACCAAACCACAGACAAAACTTGAACATATGAATTATTTATCTCACCGACTGAGGCCAAGTTAATATATAATGGTATTGAAATGTACAGATTTGAATAACAGCAAGAGGAACTTAGTACATATTTTGAGAGTGGAGAATTAAACATTTCACATTTTTCCATTCAACAATGCAATAGCTAATAACAATTTATGGAGCCACATTCACACCATGGTAGTCAGCATTATAGATAATTCTACTCCTCTGCCTTCCTCCAGAAGAGTGTTTGCTTCTTGATAAAGCTTGTCAGGTTCTGCTACTCCCCAGTTGTTGCATGTTTTCTTTTAAATTGACTTTTGAAAAAACAGGTGCTGTTTCATGTGTGTCATGACATTGACAGCCAGGCTGACAAAGAGATTGATTAATTAGAACTAGTGAAGGGGATGTCTGGGAGTATATTCATGAAAATGTTCTTTACACATAATTCCAAAGAAATGTGCTGACATGTTTTCTGATACATAGATGTCACAAAATCCTTAGATAATTTATTTGAAAAGGATTTCTAGCCGGGCGTGGTAGTACCTTGGGAGGCTGAGGGAGGAGGATCACTTGAGGCCAGGAGTTTGAGATCAGCCTGGCAACATAGTGAGACCCTGTAAATAAATAAAAGGGAAGAAGGAAAGAAAAAAAAGGCCTTTGGGGGAGGGGAAAAGGATTTGTTATCACATGTTTTCACCTACAAGTTAAACTAAGGAGCTGCAAAGCCATATGGAATGGTATAATGGTCTTTGGAGACCCAGAATGTGGATGGTGGCTTGGGGGAGGGACGAATAATTATCTATTGGATACAGTGTACACTAGTGAGGGTGACGGGTTCACTTAAACTCCAGACTTCCTCACCATTATACAGTGCATCCATATAACTGAGAACCATTATATCCCTAAAACTATTTAAATAAAAAAATCAAAATAAAAAAGGTTGCGTAACACTTTTAGCATAATAACAAGAAACACATAGCAATGTAGAATTATTGGAAAATATTGAAATGTAAGCACTTCTAGTTCCCACCACTGAGAAATAGTCTCTGGTAATATGCATCAGGTCACACACATGCACTTCTTTTAAAACAAATTTGAGATCATCGTACTGATGTTGGGCTATTTTTTCTTTTATTGTGGAATTTGGGGGTTATTTATATTTTTTCTCTATTGGAAATGACATGTTGATGAATTTTTCTTTCAATTTTTTTTTCCTCAAATAATGGAGGTAAACTATCACACACACAATCATTCTATGCACTACGGACAGTTTCCTAACATTTTTCAATACACACGCTCTTTAACAGAGTTCACTTACTATTTCAATAGAGCCAATAGTTTGCTTTTCTACTTCAGGCAGTTGTTCCTGTCGTGTTCTGGAAAATAAACGTTTAAGATGTACAAGTTACAATGTGACTGCAGTTGGTAAAATTTTCCAGTTAAAATTTTGCTGAAGTGTCAGTTATCACCCTGGGCAGCAAATTTATACTAACACCAACATTTTAAAAACAAACTTAATTATATACAGTTGTCACTGATGTCTCTAAGTCTGTTAGGGGACCAACTGAAGACACACATCTGAAGAAAAATTGTTTTAAAAAATTAACAAAATACACACGGCATAAAGTTTACCTTCTCTTCTCAACCATGTTAAATGTATAAGCAAGGCACTAATATAGTCACATTGTTGGCTACCGTGACCACCACTTAACCACAGAACTCATTTTATCATGCAAAACTGAAACTCTACACATTAAACAAAAATTCCTCATCACCCTCTCCCTCTCGTCACTGGCAGCCACGGTTCTACTTTCTCTTTGAACCTCACTTCTCTCAGTACTTAATATATAAATAGAATTATACAGTATTCCTCCTTTTGTGACTGGCTTACTGTCTTCAAGTTTCATCCTTGAATCAATCACTTAGGATAGTATTAAGTTTCATCCATGGGGTAGCATGGGTCAGGCCATTTGCCTTTTGGCCTGGCATAGTGGTTCACACCCATAATCCCTGCATCTTTAGGAGGCCCAGGTAGGAAGACTCCTTGAGCCCAAGAGTGCATGAGGACCAGGCTGGGCAACAGCGAGACACCATTTCTATCTTTAAAAAATCAAAAAATTAGTTAGGCATAGTGGCACAAACCGAACTATAGTCCTTGTTACATGGGAGGTAGTGGGCAGGAGGATTGCCTGAGCTGAGAAGGTCAAGGCTGCTGTAAGTCATGGTCATGCCATTACATGACAGCTTGGGCTACAGAGTGAGATTCAAACTAAAAAAAAATTCTCCTTTTTAAGGCTGAATACTATTTCATTGTATGTATATGCCACATATTGTCGGACACTTAGATTGCTTCCACATTTTGGTTGTTGCTAATAATGCTACTGTAAGTATGGGTGTACAGATATCTCTTCGACTCTATGCTTTTAATTCTTTTAATTATATACCCAGCAGTAGAATTGCTGGGTCACATGTTAATTCTATGTTTTACTTTTTGAGGAACTGCCATCCTGTTTTTCACAGCGGCTGCACCATTTTACATTTCCACCAGCACTGCACAAGGATCCCGGTTTCTCTGTATTCTCACCAACGCTTTTTTTTTCTTTCTTTTAAAATAATAGCCATTCTAATGGGTATGCAGTGTTGGTTTAAATTTTTAACGTTTTGTAACAGAGCACTCAAGAGTAACAGTGAGCGTCAACTGAAATGAATTCTAAGTACACATTAAACAAATGCTGTCTTCATTTTGTTTCTTAAAATGACTTTGAATTTCATTTCTTAGTACTGAGTGCTCACATTTCAAGGAGGTTCAGATGTAAGGTGTCAATTTTATCCATTGATTTCACAGCAGTTTGTCAGTTTAATAAACTCACATGTGCACACACACACCTCTGAAACATTAAAAGAAGAATGGAGGGAACAGTTTAAGTTTTCTGTAAAGATGTCACAGGAGGACAAACTTCAACACTTCTCTCCTGCTTTATATCATTGTTCTGTCAGCTTTGATCATAAGTCACTTAATTTTACTTCACCGGAGGCACTTATGTTCAAGTTAACTTGCTCTGGGATGAGGCATAGATGCCAAAAGTTGCTTGAAGTTTGCAAACAACCGCTTTCCCCGCCCACAAATGAGGATTTTAAGGCTTAAGACCCGGTTTGCTCTCTTCTCTTAATACATTTTGTTTCAGGTAAAAAATTTCTAACTCACACTGACCTTCGTGGAAAGCTTTCGAAGGTGGGCTTGGGTCGTTCTGTAAAAGTGTCTTTACCAGTGTTGAGAGAGGGGAGCAACATGAGGACACGCGTGCAGTGCTGGGGATCTCCTCCCTCTCCACAGTTCTTGGGCCACGCCCCCCCCCGGGGGGGGCAAGTGTTGCCGGGGAACGCCAGGGGGCGGAGCCTGAGGAGCCCAGAAGAAACTTGGCACCGAATTCCAGGCGGGCAGCCAGCCACTTCGGTCCAGCTCCCAGTTCTAACGTGCTCCATGCTGGTTTGGAAGTTCAAGGGATCTTCTAGAGATACCTGTGGTCTGGTACTTATATTTCGTTAATTAGTGCGACCCGAAGTGTCTACATACTTCTGCTTCCAGCTCCAGATGAGTCACCTCCATCTAATCAGAATCCCATCCAGATTTCAAGGCCAGACCACGCACCTGTCTCCCATTAATTCCACTTTTCAGGGTTCATCCAACACATCCCTTCAATCTCTCTAGCTACCTTTTAAAAACTATTGTTTTTCTCTCATTCTCTAGTCTTTAGTCATCCAATTGAAATTAAGTGTGTATTTTTTCAATTCCTCACGGACACCAGCAAAATTAATCACTTGGCCATCCTAATTTTCTGTGGTAGCATACAAATGTTGCAGTTTGCTCTTGTGTTTACACTGACCTATTAGCTTTTGTGATCCACCACTTTATATCTCAAGGATTCTTATGAGGTCTGTAGTATTGTTATTATGACTATTTTTTAAATGAGGAAACTCGCAAAAAAAAAACACCCAAGTTTTCGTAGCTAACAATTGAACTTGAGTCTTTAATGCCAGAGACATGTTTATTCAGTCCACAGATAATGCTAAAGTGCACAAATGTACTTAAAAATAAATCTGTTTCCTTATCACCCCCTGATGGCACCAGCAGACTAGGGCACAAGATTTAGAGAAGCTTTTAGTTTTAGAGACAGGGTCCCCCCCCCGTCACAAAGTCGTGTAGTGGCATGATCTTAGCTCATTGCAGCCTGGAATTCCTAGCCTCAAGCAGTTTTCCTTGCTCAGCATCCCAAGTAGCTGGGACTATGGATAGAATCTCAGAATCTCTTTTGAATTTATGAGGATAAGGTGTTTAGGAAGGAGAAACATTTACTTTGGGAAAGTAAAAACAACAAAGAAAATTAAAAGGTAAGCTTGCAATGCAGCTCTTTGGATTTTTAAAATGTTCCCCTAAAGGAATTTGCTTCAGCCTAAGGAAATTTCTGAGGAGTTCAACCCTTAAGAAAATAGTATGGGTGGAGTGCCCTTTCTGGCTACTTCCAGCATTAATGAGCTATGTGACCTAGAAGAGTCCTCTCCAGTTTTATAAATGTGAGACAATTATCATGGCAAAATGGAAATAAATGTAAAACTATTTCCATTTTTAAACCTCTAATGAATTACAGGTGTAGAAACTTGTGTAACATAGTCAGACATCTAATCAGTAAAAAAAATCAGAATCTAATATTTTATTTTATTTATTTATTTATTTTTTAGTTGGAGTCTCACTCCTTCACCCAGGCTAGAGTGCAGTGGCATGCACGCTCACGGCCACCGCAGCGTCGACCTCCTGGGCTCCAGCGATCCTTCCGTCTCAGCCTTCCTAGTAGCTGGAACTACAGATGTGCACTACCACGCCTGACTATTTGCTATTTTTTTAACTGTAGAGACGAGGTCTTGCCAAGTTGCCCGGGTTGGTCTCAAACCCGCGGGCTCAGGCAATCCACTCACCTCGACCTCCCAAAGTGCTGGGATTACAGGCTTAGTTATTTTATTACATGAAAATTGCAGGCATCTTTTCCTGCTGGTAAGCTACAAGAAATTCAGAAGAGGAAAGATCTAAAGCACTAGATCAATAAACCCTGCAGCCATTACAAATCCTAAAATTACTATTGAACCAGTTGTAACATTGCTTATGCTGAAATTCAGCAAAATGGAAACAGCACTGCTATATTCAGAAAAAAAATTATAAACATTTTTGTTACAGTTGGGAAAAGGATAAAGTATATTTGGAGTTTCAGAAGAATACTTTTTGCAGAATTTAGAAAAAGCTTACCCATTTCTCTGAAAATATTCTTGCATTTCTTCAGCTCTTTCAGAATTTGCCATCTTATTTACAATTTAATTATTCTGAAATAAAATATTTGCAAATATATCATGACTATGTGAATTTTATCACTTAGCTAATATATGACGTTCTTTACAACCCCAGCAGTTTTTGACAAAACCAACTGCTCAGAATTTTACCCTGCCCAGCTCCCCACTCTAACTGAAGTTTCAGGATCTGTTTAAATTTTGTCATTGATTTTTTAACTTCTTCGTTTCATTCCGAACTTAGATCAGGAGCTAATAAAAATTTTAGAACTGGAATAGAAGAAGAAAAGTCAAATTCCATGGAGAATTCACAGTTTGTCAGGCTATCAGATTTTTAAAAAATTTGTCACTTATTTGATTGTAATTGGTGCAAACCTTTAATCTACGTACCTCATCCTTTATTCTCTGTAAAAAAAAAAAAAAGTGGATGTGGTAGTTTTTGTTAACCTGTAGTTTGAGGGAATAGGGTTTTCTTTTTTTGTAATTAATCAATATTTTTTATTTTGATATTGTGGGGTAGAGTTTCAGGTTAGGTATACAAATATGCTTCGTTCAGGCACCCTTGTTGATAGGGGATGTCTCCCCGTTCCCAGACAGATATTGACTACCGTTAATCCCACCTCCCTTCCCCTCCCCGCCAATAGTTTCCCACCACTGTCAGTCTTTTTTTTTTATAGTATTATAGTGAAAGTTCAAGGTCCACTATATGAGTGAGAACATGTGATACTCAGATCTTTGTTTCTGTGAGAGATCACTCAGTATTATTGACTCTAGTTCCATCCAGGTTGCTGCGAAATTCGTGATTTTGTTCTTTTTTATGGCTGCATAGTATTCCATCGTGTATATGTACCACATTTTAAAAATCCAGTCCTCTTTTGATGGACAGCATGGTTGGTTCCAGGTTCTTGCTATTGTGAACAATGCTGTGATAAACATTCGTGTGCAGGTTATCTTGTTGATAGAGTGATTTGAGTTCTTCAGGGTGTATTCCCTGAATAGTGGGATTGCGGGGTCATATGGGAGTTGATATTTAGAGATTTTAGGAATCGCCACACTGCTTTCCACAGAGGTTGCACTAGTTTGCACTCCTACCAACAGTGTAGAAGTGTTCCCTTTCGCCACACCCCCTCCAGCAACTGTTATTTTTTGAGTTATTGATAATTGCCATTCTGACTGGAGTTAGGTGGTATCTCAGTGTGGTTTTAATTTGCATCTCCCTGATGATTAGTGAGGTTGAACATTTCTTCGTGTATCTACTGGCTGCTCAGATGTCTTCCTTTGAGAAGTGTCTGTTCGTATCTTTTGCCCATTTATATAATGGGGTTGTTTGTTTTTTTCTTTTCAGCACATTTGAGTTCCTTGTAGATCAAAGATGTTAAGCCTTTGTTAGATCTGGAGTTGGCAGATACTTTTTCCCAGTCTGTAGGCTGTCTCCCTGCTCTCTTGATGGTTTCTTTGGCTTTGTAGAAGCTTGTCAGTTTAATGAGGTCCCACTTGTCTATCTTCTCTCTTATGACCTGTGGGTTTCGG